GGGGTCTGATGAATCTTGTAGGGCCCCTTCACGTTTATGTGCCGTATCGCATGATCATTAACATGTATTTTGCACTTTGCATTAGACCAGAACCCCGGCCTCCCCTTCAGTCTTGCACAGGTGTATCGGCTCCTCCCCTTCCGTCTTGCACAGGTGTATCGCTCCTCCCCTTCCGTCTTCCACGAGTGTACTGGCTCCTCCCCTTCAGTCTTGCACAGTGTACTGGCTCCTCCCCTTCAGTCTTGCACAGGTGTACCGGCTCCTCCCCTTCAGTCTTGCACAGGTGTACTGGCTCCTCCCCTTCAGTCTTGCACAGGTGTACCGGCTCCTCCCCTTCAGTCTTGCACAGGTGTACCGGCTCCTCCCCTTCAGTCTTGCACAGGTGTACAGGCTCCTTCCCTTCAGTCTTGCACAGGTGAACTGGCTCCTCCCCTTCAGTCCTGCACAGATGTACCGGCTCCTCCCCTTCAGTCTTGCACAGGTGTACTGGCTCCTCCCCTTCAGTCTTGCACAGGTGTACTGGCTCCTCCCCTTCAGTCTTGCACAGGTGTACCAGCTCCTCCCCTTCAGTCTTGCACAGGTGTACCTGTCCTCCCCTTCAGTCTTGCGCAGGTGTATCGGCTCCTCCCCTTCAGTCTTGTACAGGTGTATCGGCTCCTCACTTCAGTCTTGCACAGGTGTACCGGCTCCTTCCCTTCAGTCTTGCACAGGTGTACCTGTCCTCCCCTTCAGTCTTGCACAGGTGTACCGGCTCCTCCCCTTCAGTCTTGTACAGGTGTATCGGCTCCTCATTTCAGTCTTGCACAGGTGTACCGGCTCCTCCCATTCAGTCTTGCACAGGTGTACCTGCTCCTCCCCTTCAGTCTTGCACAGGTGTAACCCGCCTCCTCCCCTTCAGTCTTGCACAGGTGTACCGGCTCCTCCCCTCAGTCTTGCACAGTTGTACCGACACCTCCCCTTCAGTCTTGCACAGGTGTACTGTCTCCTCCCCTTCAGTCTTGCACAGGTGTACCGGCTCCTCCCATTCAGTCTTGCACAGGTGTACTGGCTCCTCCCCTTCAATCTTGCACAGGTGTACCGGCTCCTCCCCTTCAGTCTTGCACAGGTGTACCGGCTCCTCTCCTTCATTCTTGCACAGGTGTACCAGCTCCTCCAATCATTCTTGCACAGGTGTACCGGCTCCTCCCCTTCAGTCTTGCACAGGTGTACCGGCTCCTCCCCTTCAGTCTTGCACAGGTGTACCGCCTCCTCCAATCATTCTTGCACAGGTGTACCGGCTCCTCCCCTTCAGTCTTGCACAGGTGTACCGACTCCTCCCCTTCAGTCTTGCACAGGTGTGCCGGCTCCTCCCCTTAAGTCTTGCACACGTGTACCAGCTCCTCCCCCTCAGTCTTGCACAGGTGTGCCGGCTCCTCCCCTTCAGTCTTGCACAGGTGTACCGGCTCCTCTCCTGGACTGAAATGGCTTCCTCTGATGTCACTGCACACTGTGAGCTTTTCACAATGTGCATTGGAAGCTGCAGCAAGTCAGATGGAGCTCCGCCTCAGCATCCCCCTTCAGGGCAGTAGATAAGGGGGTACCACCAGTCCCCCCTATACGGGGCCCAGGACAACAGGGGGGCCCAGGAAGCTGGGTGAATCACATATGGGCGGGGAGGGTGATCAGGACAGCAGGAGGGCAATTACTGGAACCGATCCCCTGTATGGCTCTCTCTATAGCAGCTGAAAGATGGATTCTTCTCCTTTCCCTCCCGCTGGCTTTCAGCTGCTGCAGAGAGAGCCATACAGGGGATCGGTTCCAGTAATTGCTCCCTGTCACATCCATCACTCTCCCTGTGCACCATACATTTCCCCCTCCTGCCCTTCCCGGTGTGCCTCACCCCCACAGGGCTGCCGGCTTCCCTCCTCTCCTCTTCACTGGCAGCTGCAAGCACATAATAGGATGGAGTGTGGGGGAAGGGTCCGGCATATAAGTCACATTTACCAGCCTCTTCCTTTCCTGAATGAACACAATGAGTGATCAGTACCGGTCACTCATTGTGTTCATTCATAACTGAAGCATGGTAAACGGTTTTGTTTTATTTTGGGGCGGGTCTGTTGGGTTGGCTATATGGGACCCGGTGGTTCTATCAGCAGTTCTTCCCCCTTTACCTTGTTCTGCTGCTGGGAAAAACTGGGTGTGAAGTTGGGAAGCAAAAAGTGCAGAGTCTGTTGGATGCCGAGACCAGGGGAGGCATCGATGAGAAGGTGCTGTGGCTGCACAGAGAGGCACAGGATCTGAAGGAGTTCTGTCCTCCTCTCTGCTGCCGGATGCTGAGACAAGATGGGGGTGGAGAAGAGGAGGGTGCGGTAGATGAAGGAGAGGTCCGAGGGCCACATGAAATGACCTGGCGGGCCGGATTCATCCCGTGGGCCTTGTGTTTGACCCGTGCTTTATAGCCTCCTAAAACACACAGATCAAAGATATTTTCTCAGCTCCAGGAAGCAGGGGGGGGGGGGATCTGATGTCACACACTGCGCAGAGTAGTGAGGAGAGCTCAGTATAATCTGAGACCTGAGTGGAAGGAAAGGACACCCCTGTTTCTACACAGTCTCATATGGATACATGGACAGCTGAGGCTGTCAATCATCTACTATGTAGGCAGGGGGCAGGGATCTGATGTCACACTCTGCACAGAATAGTGAGGTGGGCACAGTGTAATCTGAGACCTGAGCAGAAGGAAAGGGCAGCCCTCCTCTACACAGTCTCATAGGGAAACATGGACAGCTGAGGCTGTCAATCATCCATTGTGTGCTGGGGGGGGGGGGGGGGGGGGGGCGGGCAGGGTAGGGATCTGACATCACACACTGCATAGAACAGTGAGGAGAGCTGAGTGTAATCTGAAACCTGAGCGGAGGGAAAGGACCCCCCCCCCCCCACACAGTCTCATAGGGAAACATGGACAGCTGAGGCTGTCAATACTTACTATATGGAGGGAGTGGGTGGAGATCAGATGTCACACACTGCACAGAATAGTGAGTAGAGCTGAGTGTCATCAGAGACCTGAGTGGAGGGAAACAACACACACACACACACACACACACACACACACACGTCAATTCAATACCTACTATATGCTGAGAGTGGGAAGGGGTGGAGATCAGATGTCACACACTACACAGAATAGTGAGTAGAGCTGAGTGTCATCAGAGACCTGAGTGGAGGGAAACACACACACACACACACACCTGTCAATTCAATACCTACTATATGCTGAGAGTGGGAAGGGGTGGAGATCAGATGTCACACACTACACAGAATAGTGAGTAGAGCTGAGTGTCATCAGAGACCTGAGTGGAGGGAATGTCACCACCCCACACACACACACGCACAGTCTCATAGGTAAACATGGACAGCTGAGGTTGTCAATAGCTTGCTGTGTGCTGGAGGGGTGGGGGAAGGGGGGATCTGATGTCACACACTGCACAGAGTAGAGCTGAGTGTCATTTGAGCCCTGAGTGGAGGTAAATGACACTCCCCCCCCCCCACACACACAGTCCCTTAGGAAAACATGGACAGCTGGGGTTATCAATCACCTGCTGTGTGCTGGAGGGGTGATAGGCATCTGGGGCATAAACAGTTAGAAATGGCTCATACAGCTGAAGGAGAATGCAGAGACATATGACACTTAGTGCTTTGGGTTGAGGCAAGTACACACTATAGAGGATATGCTTTCTTCATTTTTAATTTCAGAAATTGACAACCGCTTTAACACGGAAAAATGAGTCCATTTTTTTATTTTTTTAAGAAGGGTTTTCATAGTGCCTTGAAATGGGTCCTTATCCACTTCCCAGTCATTTTGGGTCTCTACGCCTTGATCACACATACACCTTCAATGGCTCTTCAATATTCACAATCATTTTTATACATCACAACACTCCTCCGCCAGCTTTTAGTGCACATTCAGCCACCGGCCCAACTTGTTATAAAACCCGACTTTGCAGAAATGAAGGGAACACGCAGAAACCTAATTACTGTGTAATTCAAAGTTACGCCTCGTTGCTATTCTATCGCTAACCAGTTATTTCTCCCGGAGAATAATAAATGATTTTTATTTTATTTTCATTGGAGGAACAGGCAGGGGGGAAACGCAATAGGTTTTGGCGAATTACAAAAAAAAAAAAGCCAAACGTCTTTCTGGAAACATTTCAGTATTACAATCGCAATGTCGCCGAGAAATCCTCGCATTGTTCTGGAGAGGCTCTCCACAGAAACCCGCATCGCCATCCGGAGAGAGGCAGCGCAATTCTTTCTGATGTATAATTAGGGCGCCGGTTCGGCGTGATGTTTTCAGCAAAACAAATTGCATGTGAAATGATATGTTGCATCCTTTAATGGCGTTTAGTAATTGCCTTTCAGTAATTAGAAAAAGTCGACTTCTAATGCAGTTATGAATATATTAATCAGCGGTGTTCCTCTCGGAGAGGACAAGGGGGGGTCGTCGTGGTGGGGCGAGCGGGCGCTCAATTCATCCTGGTGGGATCGAAATGGGAATTGATGGGGAATTTTTTTTCTCTGACGTGCAATTTAACCACTTGCCTACCGGGCACTTATACCCCCTTATTTACCAGGCCAATTTTCAGCGCTGCCGCACTTTGATTGACAATTGCGCGGTCATTCAACATTGTACCCATATGAAATTTTGATCATTTTTTTCTCACAAATAGAGCTTTCTTTTGGTGGTATTTAATCGCCACTGGGCACTTTACTTTTTGCGCTATAAATAAAAAAAGTGCAAAAAATTTGGAAAAAAAAAAAAAGTTTCTTTGTTTCTATTATAAAATTTTTCAAACAGGTAATTTTTCTCCTTCACTGATGTGCGTTGATGAGGCAGCACTGATGGGCACTGATAGGCGGCACTGATAGGCGGCACTGATAGGCAGCACTAAAGGGCACTGATAGGCAGTACTAATGAGGCGGCACTGATAGGCGGCACTGATAGGCAGCACTAATGAGGTGTCACGGATAGGCGGCACTAATATGCAGCACTGATAGGCGGTACTGATAGGTGACACTGATGATGGGTACTGATAGACGGCACTGACTGGCATCACTGCTGGGCACTGACTGGCGGCACGGACTGGCACAACCGCTGGGCACTGACTGGTGGCACTGACTGGCAGCACTGCTGGGCTGCACTGGTGGGTGGCACTGGTGGGTGGGCACAGGTGGGTGGCACTTCTGGGCACAGGTGTGTGACACTGCAGAGTGGCACAGGTGGGTGCACTGCTGGGCACAGGTGGGTGCATTGCTGGGCACAGGTGGGTGATCTGCTGGGCACAGGTGGGCGGAGCTAGTGGGCGCACTGCTGGGCACAGGTGGGCGGAACTTGTGGTGGCACTGCTGGGCACCGATCATCAGGGCACTGATCATCAGTGCCCTGATGATCGGTGCCAATCCCCGCTCTGACAACTGCCGGTTCTCGGCAGTACTTTCCTCACGATCTGACAGCGTGAGGAAAGTGCAGCCGAGAACCGGCACTTGCATTTCCCGGTGATCAGCGTGTCATTGGACACCGCTGATCACGTGGTAAAAGGCCACTGTGATTGGCCTTTTACCAGATCACGTGATCAGCTGTGTCCGTGGGACACAGCGATCACGGAGATCGCCGGGTTCACGCCCCCTGGGGCGCGCAGGAGAGCGCGTTCTGGGAGGACGTCATATGACGTCCACCCAGAACTGGCCGGCCGCGGTGAAGCCGTCATTCGGCTATCTGCGATCGGCAACTAGTTAAAAAAAAACAGGAGCAGTGATTTTATAAATGTTTCAAATGGAACATTGACCACAGTAGGATCGCCTGCCCACGTGTTCTGTGGATGGGCGGCCACTACAGGCACAACTACGTACATGTATGTCGCCTACGTCTGGGCATGCCCCTCCTTCCTGCCGCCGCCGTGATTAACCCCCTTCGTGCCTAAGGGTAAAACAAATCTCAATGCCTGTGCGCAATTTGCAACTTTGACCTGTGTTATGGGTGTCCAAGCTGCAGCCCTCCTGCTGTTGCACAACTACAAGTCCCATGAGGCATTGCAAGGCTGACAGTTCAAAGCATGACTCCCAAAGGCAGAGGCATGATGGGGTAAATCAGATGTGAGCAGGGAGGGTGATTGGCACAGCGGGGGGAGGGCAGTTACTGGAACCAATCGCCACCCCCACAGTGCTGCTGGATTTCCTCCTCTCCTTTCCACCGGAAGCTGCAAGAACACAATGGGATCCTGTGGCCCTCCAGCTATTGCAGAACTACAAGACCCATGAGGCATTGCAAGGCTGGCAGTTGAAAGTATGACTCCCAAAGGCAGAGGCATGATGGGACTTGTAGTTCCACAAGGGCTGGAGGCGGGGCTGTGGATAAGGGGGTACCACCAGTCCTCCTGTATGGGGCCCAGGACAGCAAGGGGGCCCTTGCAGCTGGGTAAATCAGATGTGATCAGGGAAGGTGGTTGGCAGGGGTGGACTGACAACTCATGGGGCCCCCGGGCAATAGGGGATCATGGGGCCCCTGTGTCCTCGCCCACATTCAAACCACACTCAAAAAAGCCTATGAAAGGTACCAGGGACATCTCATGTGGCTCCCAGGCAAAAGGGGATCATGGGGCCTCTGTGTCCTTGCCCACACTCAAACCACACCCAAAAAAGTTTATGAAAAGGTACCAGGGTCATCTCATGGGGCTCCCTACTGACCCCGGGCCCTCAGGCAGTGCCTGAGTACCCGAATGGTCAGTCCGCCCCTGGTGGTTGGCATGCCTAGGTCCGGTGTCACCCTGGTCGGTGTTACCTGGTGCGGGCCGCACCCCCAAAATCCCAAATATTGCCCCACAATGTAAATCTATCATCAATCGTGTCATTGATGCCCACCAACAGGAAAAGCCTGACAACCTGAAGGCAATGACAGTCACTGAATGACAGCTACCAAACCTGTCATTGGCAATATAAAGGAATGGGCAAGGATAATGATATCCTTGATCAAGTATAACCATGGTCATATATGGTCAATATCATTGCCGAAATATGGCAGTTAAACTATTTTATATTTAGGCAATGATGCCACCCGGCCATGTAAGCAAATGGGGCCAGGTAATGCCAGTGGTTGTTGAGAATGCAGCAGATTCAGCTAGGGATTCTTGGTTATGTAAGTGAATGGGCTGGGTGATGGCAGTGCTTGCTAAGTACGTGGCAGGAGTAGGCACCAGCTGCTTCCTTAGCAACCATAGATAGCAGGAAGCCATCATGTTCTTCTTCATCTTACATTGGACTGACCACTCGCTGATCCCTAGAGAGGACAACTTGTTATCTTGCTAAGGACATGGCAGGAGTAGGCACCAGCTGCTTCCTTAGCAACCATAGATAGCAGGAAGCCATCATGTTCTTCTTCATCTTACATTTGGACTGACCACTTGCTGATCCCTAGAGAGGACAACTTGTTATCTTGCTAAGGACATGGCAGGAGTAGGCACCAGCTGCTTCCTTAGCAACCATAGATAGCAGGAAGCCATCATGCCCATCTTCATCTTACAGTTGGACTGACCACTCGCTGATCCCTAGAGAGGACAACATGTTATCTTGCTAAGGACGTGGCAGGAGTAGGCACCAGCTGCTTCCTTAGCAACCAGAGATAGCAGGAAGCCATCATGCCCATCCTTATCTTACATTTGGACTGGCCACTCGCTGATGTCTAGAGAGGACAACTTGTTATCAAAAGGCACAACAGAGTCCATCTACAATATACTGGCACAACTATCATTAAACAGGGATGGGGGCCTTCAACACCATCTGTCTTCCATATATAATGCCATTTATAATATCTCTACCAGAGGTGTATTTACCACAAGGCAGACAAGGCATTTGACTTGAGTGGCATTTCTCAGGGGGGCAGCACTGCCCCTTGGAAGAAGGGATGGAAGAAGAGACACACACGGCATGGGGACCTGGTGGGTTCCGAGAGAGGTTGTGGGTTTCATGATGGTGTATGTACAGTCCAACTCTCGTTCCTAGGGATGTCCGGAGCTGTTAAGGTGAGTGTCTCTCTCTCGCTATGGGGGATGGTGGCTGGTGTATGGGGGAGCAGTGCTAGTGGAAGGCTCTCTTGGGTGGGAGGCAGGGGTGTTTTTGCTCAATGTCAGGCTCTTTCTGCGAGGGGCGCCAATGTTTTTTTTGTTGCCTAGGGCAGCACAAAACCTAAATACACCACTGATCTCTACACTGGCATTTTGGCAACAATTCACATCCTTTAGCCATGCAAATTGAAGGGTGGACTCCTCTGTAGACTCTTGGACACCAGGGATTGGGTTAGGGGTTCTGTAACTAGAACAGTGTGGTTTCACAACTTTCACACCTCCCATCCTGCTCTTGAACAATCAACAACCGGTTTTCCTCAATGTATGGATTAAGGTTTCTCTGCTACCTTTGTGGGGTACCTTCCTGACATTCATTAGAACTATGTACATCAGTCTGCTGGCCCCGTCCCACCATCCATGATCTGTCTGCATTTCATGGAGAAGCGCAAAGAGTCAGTGATGATATCACAGGGTCTGAAATAAGGTACGCAATGAAAATGCAAATGTTTTATTTAAAAAAATTCACTTGCATGTTCATGGGTTGATGGGCTGATGGGTTGATGGGTTGATGGGTTAATGGATTGATGGGTTGATGGGCTGATGGGTTAATGGGTTGATGGGTTAATGGGTTGATGGGTTAATGGGTTGATGGGCTGATTGGTTAATGGGTTGATGGGCTGATGGGTTGATGGGTTAATGGGCTGATGGGTAAATGGGTTAATGGGCTGATGGGTTAATGGGTTGATGGGCTGATGGGTTAATGGGTTGATGGGCTAATGGGCTGATGGGTTGATGGGCTGATGGGTTAATGGGCTGATGGGTAAATGGGTTAATGGTCTGATGGGTTAATGGGTTGATGGGCTGATGGGCTGATGGGTTGATGGGTTGATGGGCTGATGGGTTGATGGGCTGATGGGTTGATGGGCTGATGGGTTGATAGGATGATGGGCTGATAGGATGATGGGCTGATGGGTTGATGGGCTGATGGGCTGATGGGCTGATGGGCTGATGGGCTGATAGGATGATGGGCTGATGGGTTGATGGGTTGATAGGTTTATGGGTGGGTGGGGTTGGCAGAGAAGGAAAAATATAAGCATAATAAATTTCAGCTGGAAAACTCTTTCAAACTGGATTTAACTGATTGGGGGGGGGGGGAGGGGTACACTCTACAAAGTGTCTTTCACAACCTGTCATTCAATTATGCAGAGAAGAGTACCCGGTGCAGAGGAGGTTCATTATTTCCACATGGTTTGTCAATAATTAGTACTGTTATGTGTAAGCACCTGCTTTTTCTATAGTAAGATTTCAATCAAATGATCAACCACTTACAATAGATACAGTTCAGCTTTGATGTTGGGATGATTATTTATTATTATCGCAACTTTTATTTTTCTGTGTGCAGCATCTGCGCTTTTCATAGTGGGGGTCAGAGAAGTATAGCTTAGTTGCCAAAAAAAAAACAGTCCGGAATTAATTATAGACATCTAATAAATGGTTGGTATAAAATCTTTACAGCTTCCCCCCTCTAATTATGTTACTCAATGAGCTGGCCAGATATTCGTAAAGAAAGGAAAACAAAGACACAACCAGTGGCAGCATAGTCTATCACAGCCATTCTCAACCAGAGTTACGTGGAAGCCTAGGGTCCCCTCAGAGGCTGCTAAGGGGTTCTCCGAGCCGGGGCTAACTGACCTCCCATTTTATGGTTCCAGGGTCAATGCCACTTGGTAAAGCCAGTTGGATGAAGCCAATAATCTTTTTAACCATCCTAAGGGGTTGTATTCTTACCATTTTGATCACCACTGTAATTATTTCAAAGGTTCCTCTAGGGTAAAAGGGTTGAGAAAAGATACTGTATAAGATGCCAAATGTGATAGAACTGACAATTTTTCCCTCGGCACATTGTAGCAGAACATAGGAAATGGTCATGCAGGACATGACCAGATGGTTTTCTGGTTAGTTTCCCTGTAAGAATTGTTGTCTGCAGGGTCTTGGGTGTCCTACTAAAACCCAAAATGCAAGTGTACAATCCAAACACACACGTTCCTGTGTTAAAAATGGCTGTGTGTATAAGTGGGTTCTACAGTGACTGTCGGCTGGAACCGACCAGAACCAGCAAGGGAAAATGTCACCAGCACACCGAGGATCACCAATTTGCCTGATGAAGGGGTCCTTGCGAGGCTCCGAAACGTTGCCTTGCTGTAACTTTGCGATCGTTCATTAAAACCTTTGGACCCATATTGGTGATCCTCGGTGTGCTGGTGACCTTCTCCCTTGCTACTATAACCCAAGACACAACACAGTTTTCTAGTTGGATTAAGATGTGTTACACATGGTGGTGCGCTGGTGGAACTGTTGATTTAAAGTGGCAATTTCTGGGCCCCCTTGTTCGGGGATTCCCTCAGGGAGCTGGGTGAAGAGATTTCATCTG